TCTCAAGTAATCATAATAGAATTCATGGCTGAGAAAACGTTTTTTTCGTGATTATCACCATAATCCTAGAGAACCCTTTTGATTGAACATTAAATTATTTCAATGATTCACTATCTTAGATCAGATGCGAAGAAATAGATTATTGACTACTATTGCTTGATGACATCATTTTAATTATCTCGAAACTCTCTAACGATAAAAACCTTACAAAATCATCATTTTTGAATGATATTTTTAGGCGAACGAAACTTAGTATTGAAAATTTGAAAAAAAATGTAACAAATTCGATCTTGAAACTTTCATATCTAGTTTGAACGGATTTTCTATCATTTATGGCTCTGTAGATCGTCGCGTCACTTAATGAGAATTTTTTATGCGTATTCAAGTCAGAAAGAAACTAGATGGTATATTCAAGTTTCACTCGAATACGAAATGCGATGCGAAGCTCGAATCGGAGCTTCACAAAAAATCTTCAATTCAGAGAAATCTTGAATACTTTTTATGTCGACATGATGAAATTCATCACTGAGGAAACTCTATTCTTACTTAGCGATACATTCTTAAAGACCGATTTCGATTGATCGATTAATTATATCCATGATTCATTATCTTAGATCAGCTGTAAATGAATAGATTATAGTGGCTAACATATTTTCATGACGTCACTTTAAAAACTCGTGATGGACTACAGAATGCGGTGCGAAGAACAGCATTCAAAAACAGATATTTGAAGCTTTCGAATAATCATTTTCATTTTAAATGAGTACCATTTTATTTTCTTGATGTTTACACAAGAAGATGTCACTTGTATGGGTGAGTTGATCGTTGCCGAAAAGCAGATGAGGGTTCATTTACGTAGCTAGTTTATGTTCTTCTAAAGTTGAGTAGTTTTTATCGCCTGCATAGTTTCGCCTTGCTTTCGTTTGAGTCAGCATCGGCTATATGATATATGTACTATTGAATTTGAAAGCCGAATCAAGAAACAGTTAAATATACGATTACAAGCTTGTCCCTTTTCTTTTTCATCATCAGGCTTAACAACAAACTTGTTGTATTCACCTGCTGGTCTCTATTATGATGAAGCAAATCAAGACTTATATATTGCCAATAACGGTGCCTCTACAGTGGTTAAGTGGAAAGCGGGTGCGTCAAATGGTACGATTGTAGCTGGAGTTTCTGGAAGTGTCGGATCCAGTACAAATAAGTTAAATGGTCCAACGGGAATAACACTAGATCAGTGGAAAAATCTTTATGTAAATGATCGCGGCAATAATCGAATTCAATTTTTCTGCCATGGTAGTTTGACAGGTGTTACTATTGCAGGAAATGGAACTGGTGGAACACTTTTGGTTGGTCCATATGATGTTAAATTAGATTCACAACAGAATGTATACGTTCCTGAGTACGGTGCTAATCGTGTCATAAAATTTGCTAAGCTATAAGAAGCATAAATTAATATACTTTTCCCCCATTCAATGACCTTTATTACAATCATTCTGCCTTTGTTTCAATTTTTTTCTTAAATGATAACATTAATAATGGTGTTTCTTTCTTGCTTTAATTTTTTTCAAAACTAATGTTTGCCATTATTAATAAATTCACCTAAATAAGTTCGACAAAATTTTATTGGTTTTGATAAGAAAAAAATAGCTATTGTTTCGACACAAGACACTAAACGAAATTATTATTCAAAAAATATCGTTTATATAAAGTTAGTTATGGTTCACCTATCAGTTTGAAAGACATATATTCTGTAAAATAAATACTAAAAATGCAACATATATTCATCTCCCAGGTCAAATACGTACGGTGGGAAACAGTCTGATCCGGTGATTTTCCATCGAATTCCGGAAGCAGTATTCCAAAACGTTTTCCGGTCTCCGGTTCCAGAGTATTTCCCGCTAACTCCTGGTTCCGGAACCGATAAGCGGATACGGTTTCCGTTTACAACAGGATTCCGTACTACGTTTCCGATGGTTTCCATTTACTGCAGGATTCCGGAGTACTTTTCCGATCGTTTTCTTTTGACGATCGGAAACG